GTAGTCTTACTTTTAAAGATTAGACTACATTCTACATTTCAAAAATCTCCTATACAGTAACTATAGCAATTTTAGTTCTGCAGAAGGCAGACCACATATTTCATGCCTGATGAAATGGTATTTAGTGATATCGTTGCTCATATAAAGCAGTTTCTAGAAATACCATTATTCTTAATTACTAAAAGGGTGTCCTAGGTTATAATTGTTCTCATTAGCATATTAAGTAATCTACAATCTTCATGGTTGCATTATTTCTAAATAATTTGCCATGCACTGTATCCGATGCAATTGTTGTGCAATAAACTTCTGTCTACCAGTATATTCCCTAGCTAGAAACGGACTACAGAACACCACCACTCGACAACTTCTCACAAAGTTATTAAAGAGCTCCTGACAATTTCAGCAGAGACTGAATATAACCATCCTTGTCTCTTCTCCTAACTGGTACCAGCCAGGGAGTGATCCAACCCTACAGGAGTGTTAAGTGGAGTGTTTGGGGAGATTAAACACAATTTACCCCTGCGTGCCGAACTACGTATATTCTACGGCTAGGAATCCCCACTCGCAGCTTATCAACACAAGGCAGGGCTCCCTCCCAATAATGCTAATTTTCCTCCCGCTGAGGAATCTTTGTGTCGCCTTCCCTCCCCGCTGGATAATAGCAGTCCCGGAGGATAGGGAAGACATCTCGGGGGACGGCGGCACAATGGTAAGGTTCAGGCAGCAGTTTGGGTTGGGAATGGGTGCGGGGAAACGTGGAGACCCAGCTAAGCCTTTGTTTGGTCACATGGGACGGCGTGATGGATGAGGGGGTGGGGAGCGCGCATCGGACGCGCCGGGAAATCGATGAAGGTGATCCTGAACGAGAAATTAACGTGGAATTAGGACATGAAGGGGAGGGCGAGCGCCAAATGAATAAAGGTACCCGCAGACAGACTGAGTGTTATTAGTGAATATTACTGCCAGCCAGAAATTAAAGCTTCTGTGGGATGATAGATTTTGATCCATATTGAAAGTGACACAGCAACAAGCCAAGATGGTAATCTCAATAAAGCATGATTTCCCCAGCAAATTATTACAATAGGTGCTGTATATGTGATACATACATAGTGGTCTCCTGAGAGGGTACATTTTCCCGACAATCTTTGGCAGAAATTCTTTTCAACAATGAACTTTATAAGTCTATTAACTGTCTGCTCTCATTACTGGCTTCCTTAATATCAGGTAGGCTGAGTGCGTAACTTGAGAAACAGCTTAGTACAATGGGAAGAAAAGTCACAAACGTTTAGTTTTTTTATCACTGGATTGTGAAGAAGTCTTATATCTGAAACTTAAGAATAGTTGATTTTTTGGTACCTACAATATAACATGAATACAGGGCAAGGCAGTGTTATACAATCCCTGCGGTGTAAGCTATTAAGTATCAGAGTCTGACTATATGATCTGTGTTAACAGATGGTAGGCAAGATGAAACGGCCTCTTTTCAATCTGTTTTTACCAATTCCTGATTTCTTCTGTCATGTAAATGAGGTGTAAAATGTTTTGAAATCCCCCAAGTGGCTGACGGAAAAAAGGGCTCCCGAATCCTGTTGGAAACTCGAGCCACTGAGCAGGTGGAATCACATGTAGGCTGGAAGTTGGTGCCGACAAGGGTTCGGATTTCCAATTTCAGCATTTCAAAGACAAGCGAACAATGCTGGAAATGACTAGCGCTAACAGGAATGTTCCCTCGGCTGACCTCTGACCTCCCTCCGTGTACCGCCACAAAGGGATCGGCAAACGCAACACGTTGCCGGACAATAGAAGGCAGAGGGTTTATAAACATGACAAAGAGGGGGCATGCTGGGGCATTGTGGGAAGATATGCACGCCCACTCTGTACCACCACAAAACATTGACTGCTTTGTACCGCGTGTCAATGATGAATCCTGTCGGTTCCTAAGTGATAGTGAAGGGATAATGACCGCCCTCGCTAAGACACTGTGTCCTTGTGTCAGCCTAATTTCATTATGGGGTTAAGAATTGTCATGGAAAAGACAACATCAGCGACCATGGGTGAGAGAAGCTATTTTTAGAACCTGTATGGAAGTTACGACCAATCAACTTTTATCTTCCAACAGGATAGAGCCAAGTTTTTTTAGCAAAGAGCTTTTTTTCTGAGAATCATCTGATAAAATAATTGGATTTTGTGTGAATAGAAAAATTCCTTTCGTCTGGGTTTTTACCACCCACAACCTGCATATCTTTAAGGACAATCTACTCTCTTGTTATTCCAAGAATTTCTATGTAGAGTTGGATTTCCTTGTGTTGATATAACTTTTATTTTCTTGTGGCTGTGTTTATAGAAATACAATGAAAAGCTGATACGACTGTGAAGAACTTCTCAGGAATTTTGCTCCCAGCTTTCTGATTGATGATATCCTGTCCTACAGTGCTTGAGTTACTAGGAGGGGGCCTCATGCAAAGCATGTCATGCATAGAAGGGATTTTTCCTGTGTTTCCGTGACGTCTAGCTTTGTGACACTTGTTATTCTGGATGCCTCCACAAAAGTCGTCTTAGTTTCCCCCAAACTTGTTGACAAAGAATGATTGGAACTCCATCAAAGGTAAGACGAGTTCTTAAGTTGATGTGACTGACCACCAGGTTCGGTGACGGGACCTCATGCAAAGTGTGTAGTACATAGAGGAAATTTTTCTTTCCCCATTGTGGAGGCTTTGCACCTTTGTGGTTGGGGTGGTGCCTGGATGACCCGGGGTCTCCCGCACACACAACGTTGGACGCCGTATCTCCCAACAAGTCTTTACAAGCCTGTCAACATGTAGGAAGGAGCAGCTACATGAACCCATTAAGGGGAAACCCACACCCTGCACCACTCATAACACCAGGTCGCTTCTGGGGACGCACTACAAAGGACCCGCCGGCCAAACCAAACTTGGGTCTGCTTGTTAGGCAACAACACGGCAACAAACCAGCAACACTTGTGCATTTGAAAGGAATGTGGCAAGGTATTGTGTAAGCAGCCCCGCGCTGGCCACTCAGAAGTATCTTTGTGTAGAAACAATGCTGATACAAAGCAATCCTGCCTAAATAAGGGACATTAGCATCCCCGGTTTTCAGCGGAGGTTTTGGAATGTTTGAGGTTCAATTTTCACACCAGCAGCTTAGCCCTGACAGGAAGTATAAAGTTGATATGAGGCGTATGGTGTGGGTCTCTCATCATCATCACAGTATTCAATACTTTTTCGCTTGACTGTTAATCGCATTAAACAGCAAAGTCACTGAAATGACTATTTTTAGTCTTTATGCTAGTCTAAAATTATAGAAATTCAAACTCTAAGAAATTATGCTCATAAGAAATTCAAACTCTACTACTGGATAAATTATGGAGATAATTTCTGGACATTTCAAGTGACATCCACAACTCTTCTTCAGCGTCACTAAATGGGCATTATGCTAATCTGCCACAAATGTTATTTTACACCTTATTTACGCATGACGATGGGATTCATTCAGGACCGACGACAGAAAAGATCAATAATTGGTCATTTTCAGGGAAACACTGTAATAGAGCTGGGCACTTAGGGATCACAGGCACTTCCAGTCAAAATGACAAATAATATTCTGTGTAACAGACATTGATCGTCTCTCCCAGTGGCCACAAGAGGGGAAAAAACCTGTTTCCTTTATTTGCAATTAGGGCGAAGATCTGTCCTGGGATGGACCAATCAGAGAGGAGAAACTGGCTCATCGAGATGTTTGGACCAGTTTGAACCAGTCATTACTTCCTCATTAAGATGTAGTGATACAGTGATGTTATTTTTTTACAAATTAAATGTGTATAATGATTATCATAATCCCGAAAATAGTTTCATCAGGTTGGTAAAACTTAAGAGATATGGGAATTCTTTTTACACAACCAAAGAGTCTCACCTCGAATTCCCAGATTATCTAGAATTCTAGAATTATCTAGAATTCTAGAATTCCCAGATTATCATAATGTTTCATGACAATCAAAGTTTATATTATATATAAATTTTGTAATCCAGCATTCTCTTAAAGCAAGGATGTTACAAAACTAATGAGGTTTGTCAAAGTTGTGTTTCTAATACGTCAATGAACGTTAGACAACCAGGTAATAAGATACGCTAAGAAGCAGTTACTTAATTTTGTAATCCAGCATTCTCTTAAAGCAAGGATGTTACAAAACTCCTTGCTTAAAGTACAAGCACCTGTCAAATTATGTACAACAATTATGTTTTTTCTGTGTACATGTTTCATTAAAATAAGAGCTTTTCAAGCATGCAAAGGTTAGATTATTGTCTAATGACCATCTGCATGGCAGATACAGCATAGCTAAACGAAATGCTAATTGGGATCACACCACACATCTGCATGGATTCTTTCAGCACTTGGAAAATGAGCAATTCACACCCTCGGTTGTTACCTGAATCTAAATCCAGAGTTAAAGACCCAGAGTCAGGGGGTATCGGTGAGTGGAGATGTGTTGATAACAGGATAGCTAAGGGGTGCCCTGCACTACAGCAGTGGGCAGGTAGGGTGCTCTTCAGGCATGACATGTGCATCACACACTCTATAGGGTCAGCTGTGGGCAGGGATGCATGCTAAAGTACATATACAATGTAAGCAAACTCTGCTTATAGGGTTTTGCATCATTAGAGATGGCACTGATATATTTTACTCGCTATGGCATAGGATATAGAGGGCATTTTGACCTGCTGCAAATTGCAGTTGCATACTACTGTACATTCACTTAAAAAAAAAGATTATACACACCAGGAGTCAGGACTTTCTGAAGTTTAGTCTAGTGCTACAAAATGTATGTGCTTAAAAATAAATTCACTTGTACCACTCTTATTTTCTTAATTTTTAATCTAGCATAAAGCCATGGACAATGTAGTTAGAATGAATAGAGACTGTCAGAATGTTCTGACCATTTATTTTTTTATCTGAGTAGAATGTAGAAACTAAGATAAACTTACTGTGGAATGGTACTGCCTCCATTTGTCAGGACAGTCCTATAAAGTAAAAAAAAAAGGTGAAATTAGTTTACATACAGAAAGTAGCTCATCAGAAACCAAGGCTGCAGCAGACTGTTCAATCTTGACGTATCACTGAACAGCATAGAAGAAAATTATCTTACAAAATTACATACAGTATCTTAGAAAATTATATACAAATGTACAGTACTATATAACAGTGTATAAAATTCACCAATCTGACTTTTAAATCTGGTTTTAAAAAAACAGATTTGCTTCATACATGTACATGAATGTGTGCACATAAAAGTATTTGTTGTTTGTTGTTTGTCAATACACTGTGAATTGTGGAGATACATGTAATCTGCAAAGTTGTATTCTGAAAAGTCCATGTTCCATTATCATTACTGGAAACCAAATTTAACAAAAGCAATAAAAAGGTAAGACATATTATTCTTTAAAATGGGCACATATTCAATGCATTTTCCTTCAACAAGTTGACTTTCTTATAACTTAAGTCAACTCAACACAAAACAAATTGTGGCAAAGAAGATTCTAGAAGCCAGAACATCATGAACTGTGTGGACTTATAAGGCAACATCACCTGTTGACCTGGTACATTTCAAACATTCCTGCTCAGGAACAGGCGTTACCTAAAGGTCATTCAGGTCACCAGTTTCTTTTGTCTTTTTTCAGGTGGGGCTGTCACGAAGTCACGACTTCAATGGAATTGTGACAGGAAGTCATGACTCAAGATCCACACCTTATCTAGATAATCCTCAAAGTGTATGTACAGGAAGAACGAAGTACAATACGTAATGTAGCCCACACAATGCTTCCAAACCTATAGCTGACAGAAGTCAGAACGTAAGTAATATTGGATTTAATGCCAATCATTCTCACAAGTTACAATGATATCAATTTTTATCTCTCTGCCTATAGACATCAAATTCAATGCCAAGGTGTTGAAGAACTTTATGTTGTTAGTTGTTGTTAGTAGCGATACTTGTAAAAGTTAAAAACTATATTTTGATAGTTTTCAAACCAGTGTCTTTCAAATTATCCAACCTTTTACATGTATATATGAACTTACATGTATGACATATGAGCATAGGAAAAGGTTGTATACACAAAGGACATATCAGAAAGCTATTGATCTTTTTAGTCTGTGCAATTAAACTTGGGAAGAACATTACATCATGCTTTTCTGAAGTGTATGAAAGTCTTCATTGAAGTTTGGGAGAGTGTACGAAATGTATGAAAACATGCAATGTACTACAGTTGTCTTGAAAGTTTATTAGTGTTGGTAGAAGTCATTATGAAGCAAGTTTAAACTGTAATGTCCAACACAAAAAAATTGACTCATGGAAGCGGCAGATTGTTCATTCCTTGACAAAGACTGGAGTTGTACAGTCGAAAATTTGGGTGAGTCCAATTTCTTGTGTGGATATTACAGTTTAAACTTGATTCATACTACAGTTGTGTCGACTAAAGCAACATTAAGAGAGTATTCTAACGATCATGACCCCAATAAAACTCTCCGCCCCTCTCAGGCGCCATAATCAATCATACTGTGCAGTGGGAGGAGCAATGCTGGTCAAAGCTGTGGCGCTCCAAGCATACTTAGCATAAGCAATTCTAAAAACTATAAAAGCAGAAGGGAGAGATTTAATTGTTATGACCCCTTAGCAAACCGCTCCGCCCATTTCTGATATAACCATCAATCAAGTTGACAGGAATGAAGGGCAGCACTTTGCATATTGAATGAAGAAGAACTTTCAAATGAGTGTACCGGTATTACATGTCATCTGTCAACACTATAGGTACTTGTTCAGGAGATCTTGTTCAGGAGTACTGAACTTACAGCATTGAAGAAATATTCTACAGAGAATAATTATGTTTTTTTCATTCACGGGCGTTTTTGGATGTTTTTGATAATTTTTTGCTCCATCTCATTTGGAACATACATGTGAACATGCTTCAGAGCGTTCTTTTGCTTATATTTTTGTTAGTAAGATAGCTAGCTTTGTTTATGACATCTCTTTCCATATCTTTACGTGCTAATTTTTATCCCTCAAAGATGACAGATTTTTGTTTGTCATGAGTGGCAAAATTCCATCAAATGACAGAAAGACTGACACTGGAAAGAACACTAGATGGTACAGAACAGTTACATCATCTGATTCAGTAGATTTTAGAGGAAAAGTGGTCTTACATTGGGTGGTGAAGACAAGTACATGTAACAATTTTAGTGACTAATCTACAGAGGGACACGAGAGTCTGGATATAAAAAATGTATAGTAAAAAATTCTTCCCCTTGAACATTTTAGATTAAAGGAAGCTCTTGCAATACAGGTTAACACTTTGTCTTTAGCAACTTTCTTGTCATCAGAGCTGGTAACAGCTACATACTCCTGTATACCAAGGAGCTTTATTTTCATGTGTATACTTATAAAAATCCCACCGTTCTCACCCCCCTCCCCCAAATGTGTGCATTCCATATTACCATGTATATTATGCATGGGCTGGCATACCCATCCTATGATAGTAAACCAATTCCATGGGTAGGCAGCTGTGAAATGACTATTGCGGTATAAACACCCAACCATGCCTGCTAGAAAAATGGGGCCCAAACCATTGACTCCACTTCACCCATGGGGATTTTCACAATTTCCAGCCTCCCTAAAGCTCTCTAAATGATTCTAGCCTCCAGAATACCTACCAAGGCATCCATCTATCAGTGTGATGCAGGGGGATGGAGGTTTAATACAGTCATTTGTCTGGTCACATCTATATGAAATCCCTTCCTTTTTTTCTTCAAAATCTAAGACAAAACTTTAAAGTAAGAAGAATGTGCTAACTTTTGTGAATTGTGCATAAAATGCAAAACATATCAAGTTATCCTGAAAATTATCAAGTGATCTCTTACAATGGATTCCGATGAAAATAGCATATTACATGCAAAATCAATTGTTCTTCACTACAATGCCAAAAAGTTGTAAGGAAAAAACATTCCGAATGGAGTTTTTCAAGACTTCAATTTTATGATATGGGCAATTCATACCAATGTCATATATATACTTGAAATATAGGCTATCTCTATTTTAGCCAAATGTAGAATCTCTAGAGCAGCTACTGTTCACAAATATAAAACATGAACAACAGTTCCATATCTTATAAAAAAATCCTTAAAAAACTTAACTGCATCCTGTCAACTTTTCAGTCATTTCTTTATTATCAGGCTTTTCTAAGTTACAGCAATGTTGATCTTCATTTTACGTCATTCTATAACCTTATCAATTAGCTTGTTTAAAAAACAAATCTAGTCTCCCACATACATTTTCACTGATGACTTTTCTCAATTTTACAACTTGACCTTGAAGGCCGGGAAAGCACGACTCCCATCCTCTCACACATCTTATACCACCTCCTCATCAAAAGAGACCCTCCACAGATCCATCCTATAAAGTTCACCTAATTAAATGGCATTTTACATATTAATTGTTTTACAGCTGACGAGGGCACACTCACCAATACACACGTCTGGGGGATGATTGATGGAGCGTTGAGAAAAGATCACAGTGAAAAGTCAGAGGGGAGAGAAATCTGGCAGCATGCATTATTGTGCCTATCACGGGGAAACGACTTTCATTGTTGAGAACTTCATTCAGACTACGGATCCCGCCCTTTTGTCGTTCCATGTCTTTTGTTCGGGGCTAGCTAATGACCTGTAGTAATGATCATGAAGAAAAAAGAAAGAACATGAAGCATTTTGTTAGCTGTTCCAAAGGGATTTGTATCCATTGTTCCACCCTGAAAGCCAATACGGCATTATTTCATTATCAGGATAATTCCTTTATTAGTCGTACAGAAGTTGTATGTTGAAGTTCTGTATTGCAGGGCTCCAGTTTCACGTCCCGGCTGCCTTGTACACTTTTAATGCTTGAAAACAATCCAGCCCATTAGGCGACAATGACTCTAATGTTGCATATCTCCCTGTTTCAATTAAGTCTTGCCAACAATTCATTATGAAAAATAATGAAAAGTGGCTCATATTCATCAGTCATAGCCATTTTAAAGTAGTATTAAATGAAGGATTTACAACCTATTCATGGTTGAAAATTACTCTGAACATATGTGTCCCTCTACGTATAGTATGCCACCCACCCAACAAAACTTTCCCTTTGTATTCCGGTACTTTTGTTTCCGATCCCAAGGCAGTTATTTGGGTATCTGAGAATCCTGACACCCTATACATCACGCTTGCTTTTAAAATGCAAATGGCAGTAATTTCATTCCTGCTAATACTGATATTAAAATAATAGACCAGCGGTAGGAATGGAAGTAGCGAAAGGGTTTTCCCACCGGAGAATTCCCGATGTGGTGCTCTTGTTCCCATTTCGTCTAAATAGCGGCAGAAAATTATCTGGGCAGTTTAGAGGCACCGGTGGCATTCAATGAAACAAATGGTAGAAACCAGATACCCATTATGTACAGGAAAGGGAGATATCTCTATTAGCCAAACTTGTAGCTAGGTGTGTAACACTGAATGCCAAACATTTCCTATCCTTTGTGCGGGTATTTCCCTGGAGCTGCCCTATTCTGGGATCTGCCGTTTCCTCTCCCATTCCCCTGACATGGGTAGTCTTGACAAATGTTACGGTCGCTTATTCATGTGGCGCTTCCCCCTAGAGTTATCGTAATGCTGATGACACCCATGTGTGTAGTTTTTACGGGAGTTACGACCCAACGCAATCTCGCGACAACATATTTCCCCGCATCCCGCTGTGGCTATGATAGGTGCGGATGAGGAAAGCACCAACTACTAAAAACTGGTGGCAATTCTCCAGGCTTGCATAATTAAGTGGCAATTTCACTGGCTGCTGGATAATATTACACATGTACATAATTAATAGGCAATTTTGTTCCTGAGCATTTAATATGGCACATGTGGTGGCCATAATCCCAAGCCACAACACGGATCCCTTAGTGCCATCCTACATGTAGAGGACACCTCAGTGGTGGTTATAAATATATAA